GCTTTCTACCCAAGGGGATGAACAGTGGGCATACAATGCCAGTGAGATGCTGTGGCGGTGGAGGGGAGTGAGGAGCGCCTGGAGGGCAGCACTTGGGTTTGGGGGGCCTTGCTGTGGAGCAGACTCCTCTGCTCAGACCTTGGCAATACATGAAGGCAGTTGTCCTGAACCCCCTGCTTCTTTTTTCCAGGTTCAATAGGCTCAGCGCTTCAACTATTTTCCCTTGTGATTTTTCCTTCCACTATTTACAGGTACCTTGAAAGCTGAGCACCTTCTTTTGGAGGAGTCACTCTTGGTCAGGTGTGACCCCGAGTTACTTCCTGAAGGCACTCCCCTCCCTGGAACCCCAGTTACTGGGACTGCACCTCATTGACAAGACCAGGAGGGCAGAGAGCAGCCAGGGAGGAAGAGGCTGACAGAAGGGTGGGGAGAGAAGGAGTGGGGCAAGCAAGAAGGAAGAGGAGAGGCAGGGAGAGGCGGGGGAGGGAAGAGACTCGAGCGGGGGTTGCCCCCAGCGGCATGTCAGAATCCTGTCCCCCTGTTGCACCTTCCTCTGCTCCTCCCCTTAGGTCTTGGCAACCATCCACTTCCTCACTGTACAATCGACATATGACAATTCTGGGTGCCTGGGAAAACATGTGGGAACTCTTAGAGAAAAGGCAAAACCTGGGGTGCTCAGACAAGTCAGGTGGCCTTTCTGGTTGCTCACTTTCCCGGTGTCCTGGGGATGGGAGGGGGTCTGTGATATTGGGGGCTGGAGTCCCATCGGGGAGCTGACAGGAGACTCTGGGTGGAAGGATTATTTCAGACCTGAGGCCCAAGAGGCAGCAGGACTTGAGCAACCAGTTGTTTCAGTCCTGTTGTCACTGTGGTCATTGGAATGTCAAAATCCATGACATGGGGCTTTCTAAAATGTATGTTTTCAGCAACTTCTGGGAGGGGGGCAGGGCACTGAGGCTGGGTTCTGGAGTTTACTTCAGAGTGGAGTTTGTGTCAGGATTGTGCAAGATTGCCTCACCGGGCTGGCGAAAGCTGAAGCAAATCTTGGGAAACAGCGCAAAATTATACCCTGTCCTCCAGGGGTTGTAGGGCATGCCTGCCTCCCTGAGACGGGGCCCTGGGTACCTGAGACCCTGGCTGAATTCATCTTCTCGGAGAAGGCACGATGCGGCAGCCTCCTCCTGGGCCTTGTGCTGCGGGTCTCCTTCCCACCATAAATCCACATCCCGCAGGGAGACTTTCTTAAAATACAAATATGATTGTGTCATTCCTTCCCTAAACCCTTCACTGCTCCTGCCCTCCATTCTTTTGCTGAAAATGTGAGCTCTGTGGCCCAGCATCTGCCCCGCTCTCCTCTCTATGTCCCTCCTCCCTTTGAATCCTGGGGCTCCTCACTGCTGAATCAGCATCTGCATGTTTCTTCTGGGATGCCGGCCACCACTAAGCTTGTTGCCACTCTAATGCTTACCTTCCATGGTGACAGCCCAGCGGAAGGACAGTCTTCCCCCCTCGAAGTCCCAAGGAACTTTTCACCTGGCTGGCCTTTCATTTTCTGTATTTGAATTATTTGAGGCACTGTCTTGCCTGCCCTGCAGTCCTGAGAGTGCCTTACTGGGTGAAGCCTTCTTTATCACCGGACTCCTCGGGGTATTATAGTGTCTGACACACAGCGAGTCCAGATGAGTGTCTGTTGAGTGAAGGAATGGGTGGACTGACAAGTGAGTGATGTGATCATTCACCTCCACCCCTCGTTCCAGGAGCATCTCGCATCACCCAGGCCCTGGAGCACAGTCAGAGGATTGTTAAGCATCTGGGCAGAGTCTGGAAGCTTAGTGTGCAGCTGTTACTTCCTCATCCCTCTCGAAAGCCATCTAAAATTTCAGGTTCCACAGCTAACGACAGCAGACGACCTCTGATGACAGGTTCTCTGTTCTTCAGTAACTGTGATGTTGGGGAAACCCCAAAGTTCTTATTTTCCAAAAGGACACATTAATCATAGAAGTAGTCACCGATTCTTCCTTGGGGTGGAAATCTTAACCTGGACACTGACACTCTCGTTCCCTCTCAGAGGGAAGAAGCCAGCTCTCCTCTACTCAACAGAACCAGGTTTGGTTTTTTTTTGGAATGGAAGGTCCTAACTCACCTTGACCAGCTCTCTTAAATATGTTTAAAGAAAATTCCACAGGGCTTTGTAAAGTGGCTTGTTGTTGGGCCTCCCCTTGGGCCTAGAACAATATCCTGCTCTCAGAATGGGCTGGCAGAGCAATGAGGCAAAGGAAGAGTGCTTGGCTTCTAGAAGCTCTGTCCCCTGCCATCCTGCTGTTCCATCCTCTCCCAGCCTTTAGGTTGTACATGGACATGCCCCTAATGCCCAAAGGGGTCCCCATCTCACTCTCTAGCTCCATCAGGTCCTAGGACCACCCTACCCTCACTTACTCATCTGTAAGGCCCATGACAGCTTGCTCCCTGCTGTCTGGGTGGTGGCTGGCACCTGGGGACATGTTGGCGAATTAGCCACAGTCCCTGCCTTTGGGGCCATGTCAGACTTGCTGATAAGGTTTCCAATTCCACACTGGAGGTGCAAGGGGAGAGGTATCAGAGAGTTCTATGGGCCTGGCAGAGGAAGTCTCTATATACTTGAGGAATGTGAGTGGTTAGGGACGTCTTCATGGAGGCGGTGACGCAGAGACCCCAGGGGGGGGAGGACATTCCTGGAGCAAAGGTGCAGAGGCCAGAGAAAGGCTGGATGCCATTTAGGGAAATGTTTTGAAGAAGTGGATGGGTGGCTGCATGCGTGGAAGGAGTTAGGTTTTTCTGTGTCCCCGTGGATGTGGAAGGAAACTAGCATTAATGCCTAGCAGGCCCGAGGAGACGGCTTCTGGCTCCATGTAACAGAAGACTTTCTAAGTGTCAGTGCCAAAGAGTGCGAGCTCGCTTTCCTGGAGGCGAGCAGGCAGGGCCCCGGCTACCACTCGCCATGATGTGGCGGAAAATCACTCAGGGGTGGGGCAAGAGCAGGCTGGGTTAAATTAACAGTGTTCAAACTTCGTTTAAAGACAGATCTCTTTATTTAAATGCAAACTTCTAGTGCACAACAAGTAAAGGCTGGTGTGACTGAAAAAACCTGCGGGGGGCGGGTGGTGGCTTCAGACTCCATCACCTGGCTGTCCCTTACTGCCAATTTGAGATTCCATGACGATACCCAGAAGGCTCCCACCTGCTGAATTCTCTCCCACCCTCCTTTCTCCGTACCTGAGGAGAGCACACAGAACCTGTGAGAAATTTGAGAACATCTGAACAGTCAATATTTGCTGAGAACCTATTATGTATCAGCCACTACGCTAGGTGCTGGCAGTAAAACAGAGAATGACAGATGGCACAAACTAGGAGTTCATAGACTAGTGGGAGGCAGACTCACAAATATACTTGTGGCACATTCCCCTCCCTTCTCATCCCCTGCCTCTTTTCCACCCCTATTTGCTTCTCTCCTGCTCCCAACCCTACCCTACCCCACCCCACTTTACCTCTGACAGAGCTCCGACCTCCCAACTCCCAGGCTGCCTCTCTTTCCCTTCCGGAGTTGCCCTCAGAAGGGGCGACCCCTACGGGGACATGAGAGTGGTGGCTCTCAGAAGTGATGTCGCCAGATGTCAGGTCCCTGAGTCGGGCAGGGAGGGAACTGGGGGCTCCTAAATTCTGTTGCGCAAGCTCAGAGCCTGAAGAAGTACCTGGAAACACCCTCTGCCCTGCAGTGGGCGCCCTTGTATTCTTGCACCCACAGCAGAGGTCCCAGGGCCCTGAGAGCAGAGGCCCCTGTGGTCCGCTGCAGCCAGGCTGTGTGGGAAAGCAGAAATCTGGAAATCTGAAATCTGACCCGCAGTCCCCTTCTTCACGCTCAACTCGATGGCTGGGGAGTGAGCTGGGAGGTGCAGTTACAGAAGGTGGTTCTGAGGCCCTTTCCTCTCTGCACTATCCTGGCCAACTCCACTGCTGCAGGACTTTGGGCTGGTCCCTTCCGCACTCTGCGTCTTGCTTTCCTCATTGTTAACACGGGGGATAGATGATTCTGTTGGTCTTTTTTCTGTGGAAGGACAGAGCAGGGAAGACACCCTTGATTCGGGCCATGGTCTTTGGAAGGCTCAGCCCAGCCTGGTGATGCTCTCAAGCCAGAGGGCAGAGAAGTCTCTTGGATATCTCCAAAATGGGTGTTGGGGTCTGCAGGCTGCTGGAGGAGGGAAGCTGGGAGCCAGGCCCAAGAATGGGTTTTGCAGAGACAAGCAGGTGCTCCTGCTGGCCTGAGCAATCACCTGCTGGAGGCACCTTGGTCACTTCGGGGAGATCAGTTTGCCCTCAGGCTCAGAGCCAGAATCGTGAGGCCTGAAAGGCTCCCTGGACCCAGAGTCCAACCTCCTCACGGGGCTGTGGGGCATGGGGTTAGGCTCCCCGCGTTTCATCCATGTGCTCACCTGCCCAAGTACCCACGGGGAGGAGGAGAGACACTTCATTTAAGAGACACCAGCTGCTCTCGTGGATTCAGAACTCCATTTGTGGATAAACACACCCAATCTGCCCTTGTTTTCAATGCCCAAACTCTGGTATCCTTTCTCAGACATGGTCTGTCTAGTATATTCCAGAGGAATCAGGCTCTATGAGGAGAGAGATGGCTGTGTGAACAGCATTGGGCGAAGGAGCCATGGCTGGCATGTTGAGAGGATGGGATATTCCCCCTTTTGCTTTCTTTGGTGACAAGGGCCAATGTGACAGACTGGACAGGGAAGTCCTGAGCTGGGTTGGCACGACTAGGACATGAGCAGTAGGGGCTGAGGTCAGAGGTGAGGAAATGGCCAGGGAGGTAAGCACATGGGCTCCTGACAGAACTACGTTTCCGAGGTTCTCATCTTGTTTCTACAAATGAAGGGGCTCAGTCCCAGTGAAGGGGCACGGTGTCTAACCCAGACCCCTGGGAAGGACGGGGCTGGGTGGAAGAAGCACGCACAGCATTGGCTTGAAGTAACACTTTATTTCACTCCAGCCCTCAGCCCTGAAGCTAAGGTCATGTGGCACACAGCACTGGTGCCCTCGTTGGGCAGGGACGGGGTGGCCGGGCCTCCTGATTAGTGGCTGTGGCCGCCCTACTTTTGGCCTTCTCCAAAGCCTGGCCCGTGCTCGTGGTCTTTCCCTTTGTGGGTGTGCTTGTGCATCTCCTCATGGGCTGCATTCGTCAGCCTGGCCACCAGCATGGAGAACTCCTCGAAGCTCAGCTCCTTGTCTCCATTTGTGTCCAGGTCCTCCAAGATATCTTTTATGGCTCTTTCATCCCTCTTCTCCTTCTGTAGGTTGAGAGACAGGAAGGTCAGGGCTGTATGTGGCCAGGGCTGGGTCTGGGTAGTATAGCAAAGGACCCGATGGCAAAGGCACAGGGAAACCTGGCTCCTGGGCCTCAATCCAAAAATTGAAAATGACCATTGATGGAGTGCCATTTACTTTCCAATTATTGTGCACCCACTTGGGTCTGCCTCAGAGCCAGTCCTGTCCCGTTCCCTCTGCCACTGTCTTCTGTGCCCCTCCTTTCCTTGCCTCTTCCTTCCCTCTCATGGTTACAAATCAGTGATGCACATTCAACCTGTGTAACCGGAAGCACCCGAGGAAGAGAGGATCATTGGGATCTTGTGTAGGGACAGAGAGCAGTGAGTTCGAGCAGGTTTCAGCTATGCCACTTGTTGGCTGGGGCACTTAGCTAAGTCCGCCCCGGAACCTGCAGGTGCCCGGGTCCTCTCCCAGACCCTTCCGTCCTGCTGTGCGTCCGCACCGTCTATTTTTTCTGCACTTTGCCATCGCCCTGGGGAAGACCAGTCATCACTCCTGAGCAGCCCACTGGCAAGGTTCCAGCTTTCCCTCCTAGCCTGTCACTCTGCTTCTGGCAGAGGGGTAGGGGTGAGGGATGGCACAGGCTCAGGCCTCCCACTTGCCAGCACCACCTATGCTGTGGACCCTGACCCAGTGTCCTGCTTGCCGAGGTCCCTCCTATGGAGGGCCGTCAGCATCCCTGACATTGCCCACTGCTGCAACTCTCCACCCCAGTGAGGGGGGAGTGGCTTGAGGGCAGGCTGGCCACCTACCCCAGGACATGGGCTCCAGGCATGGAGCCGAGACTGCGAGCCAGATGTCCCCCACTTCTTAGTCCAGGCCTCTGTTCCCCCAAAGTCCCCAAATTTGTAAAGAAATCAAAAATATCTGGCGGGACAAATCCTTTTCCCTAGAACTGCCTCATCCTTTTTGGATTAGTAAATACAGGTCACATTCCGTGAGCGGGGGTGCACGTCTGGTGCTGAGCAGGTTTCCCACATGCTGTTTGTTTGTTTGTTTCCTCCGAGGGACCCTTCAGATCCAAAGAGCTCCCTCAGGTCTCCTCCCACTCCACCGGAGGCTCAGTCTCCTTGGCTTCTGCCAAGGCTCAGCCTCAGCTCAACGGTCACCATCTCAAAGGAGCCCTTCTTTTCCACCTAACTAGTCGTCTCTCCCCTGCCCAGCCCAACTCACCTACAGCATCTCTCTTACTTTCTTGCAGGCACATATTTATATTATCTGTGCTCTTTATCAATCCACATCTTTGCTGTGTGTCTCTCCGGTTGGGACACCCGGTCCCTGTTCACCACCACACACCCCTGTGCCCGGGACTGGGCTGGCACACAGCCCAGGATCAGTCACTCTTCCTTGACTCTGCCAGTGCCATCTAACCTGGAACTCCTGCAGCGACAGGGTGCCGCTGCCTCTGCTGGCTGGCTTGAAGGCTCACATTTTCCCCGTGACTGGTTCAGACTGCACCCCCACCCCCCATCCTGAGCCCAGACTGTTGCCAGGCTGGGCCAGGCTGCCCGAGGTCCAGTGCTACCTTGAGGAAGTTGGGCAGCTCTTTTTTCACCATCTGACTGAATTCTCTCTGGTTCAGCCTGTCATGGTGGTCCTGGCGCCTGGAGTACTGGTGGAAAATTTTGATGACGGTGTTGATGCTGCCTTCCATCTGTGACGGCATTTTGTTCCTGGTCTTCCTGTACTCTGAGCAGAGTAGAAGCAAGGGGTGCTTAGGAAAAAAAAAAAAAAGGCTGTCACACTTCCTTGACACCTCCTACTGGTTGCTCACAGAAATGAAGGGGAAACACAGAATAAAATGAACGTGATTTTTATTGAACTGAGAGATGACCCCTGTCCCACACATGGGAGAAATGATTTTTAGAATATCGGGAGAAGGTCAGAAAGCAGAGCACTTGAGAACAGGAGGCTTCAGCAGAACATAACCTAACAAAATGGGAAGGAAGCTTTAAAGCCAGTGAGGTAGTCAAGGAGGGCTTCCAGGAGGAGAGTTTGAAAGGAAGATTGGTAGAAGGTGCAAAGAAAGACTCAGCAGGCAGGCTCCTGCCAGGGAGGCCGGCAGCTTACTCACCTAAGCTGAGGAGTCTCACAGAGGAGTTTGACAGCGTCCTGTGGGCCCAGCATTTATAGGCCTCCACTGGCGGGGACACAGCCCTCTACTGGGAAGATTGCTTCACAGGTGAGCATGCGGTAACTCAGAGCTGGGCCACCAGGAAGGGGCCTGGGGCGGAACAGGAAATGTTCACATAGATCCTTTTGCCTATTTGTGAAATTCCCAGTTCTGGGTTAGGAGCTGGTTGGGGAGGAAGTTGCTTGGTTAGCTTACTTCTCCTCCACCCCACCCCCTGCCCTCACTGAGCAGGCCGCCTCTCCGCTGGCACCCTGCCCGCCCCTCCCCCCATCCTTGGGTTTGCACTTTCCTGTGTTAGCCAGTGGCTGGTGGTGGGCTGAGGGCCACTCTGCCTCGCCCCCGTAAACAGCCCAGCGAGGATGGCTGAGCCTTCCCCTTCCTGGCTCTGTGATAACTGCTCTGTGGAGGGCGAGGGGTTGGAGTGGGGCTTTTCGATTCGCAGGGGGTGAATCTGGGTTAGAAGGGTCAGGGTGGGGTGCGGGGGTGAGGTGGTCAATCCCCTTGTATTGCAAGGTCACATAGCTGGTTGGTGACAGAGCAGGAATTGGGTTTAGATACCCTGGTTCCTGGCTAAGAGTGATTGGATTACCCCTCCCTCCTGTAGTCTAAACGAGAGATCCTCAGGGCTTAAGTGTTTCTAGAGGCTGTCAGTGTTCGCTCTTCTAAATCCTGCTCCTAAGTGGGAACCACACCCTTAAGAAGATTATAGCATAAAGACAACTGTTTTGATGCACCCTCTCGGGCAAGACCGGCCCCTCCCGCTGCAAGGCTGCAAACCTCCTGTAGCTCCCCATCTCCAGGGGACAAAGCTGAGCTGCTCAGCACAGCACACAGAGTGCCCAGAATGGCGCCCCTTGGCCTGGTCAGCCTTTCCCCTGCCCCCTCCCCTGGAGCCCCTGGGGTCCACTGGGCACCTCCAGGCCTTTCTTTGGTGCTTTCAGCCCAGGCATGTCCCTCTCACATGTCAGGGCACAGCCCTACCCACCCCACAGGGCTCAGTTCAATGCTACCTGGTCCGGGAAGTTTGCTTTGTTCTTCCCAATGGGAAACAGTCTCTTTCCTGGGACTAATTTACTCCCACACCACCTCTGGCTCTCAACACTGCCTTTCCTGGAGTGAAGTCATTTACATATTTTGCATCTGTCTGATCATTGCCTCAGATCCTCAGGCGAAATCCTTATTTGCGTTCACATCCTTCAGGGCTTGACACAGGGAGACCCCATGTTTGCTGAGGGATCCTGTCCTTACAGGCATCCCCACCCTTCAACCCAGGAAGTGTGTCTGGAGGACCTACCAAAGGGACCTTCCCTAATCTCTCGCCTCCCCCAGCCTCTCACCTTCCACTTCTACCAGTCCCTTTATCCAGTTGTCAGAAAGCCTTCTCTCACTGTCCTGGCCCCCCTCCTCCCCATAGCACTGTCCTCTGAAAACCCGAGGCAGCCTGTGGGCTACCCCTTGGCCCTGAGCACATTCTGTCTTGCACTGCTGACTTGGCACATGGAATAGTTCAGAGTTCAGGCTGGCTGCGTGACCTTAGACAATTTACTTAACCTCTCTGTGCTTCGTTTTCTTTATCAATAAAAAAGGATAATCACAGGACCTTCCTTGAGAATGGAAACAGTACAAGTAAAGCCAGAAGAACTCACTAATTAGAGGTATTATTATTAGTTATCTTTTCATTCATTCAGAGAAGTATTGGTTGAGCACCAGACACTAGTAGCTGATGCTGGGCAACTTGGTGAGTGAGTTGCAATACATGGGGGAGGCATAATCTTTTATCCCGAATTCCTGATCACATTTGAACTCTTGGGAGCTAATGACAGGGCCTAGTACCATGCCAAGAGCACAAAAATATTGAAATCAATGTTTGCTGAATGCATTCTTGAAAGAAAGTGTAAATCATCTATGGATGAACAGCGCAGGTCTGGCCCAGGAGTACGTGAATGGAAACTTCAGGTGCATTCCCTCAGGGGGTCGACTCTCCATTGTTTGAGCTGAGGGACGAAGCACACCCTGCAGCAAGGAACCCTCCCTTTTCAGGCTGTCAGGAAATCTCTGCTGTTTCTGGCAATCCGGTGACATGCGGGTGCCTCTCCTCTGCGGCTCCACAGCGCCTTCTGCTGTCTCTATTGAAGCACATTTCACTATGGACCAAGGAGTTCAGACAACTTGCAGCAACACGGTACCTAGTAGACCGGTGAGGCTGGTTGGACTTGAGAACGTCAACAGCACCACTAATAGGCCAACTGTGGTAACTGACATGGGGCCTCAGGGTTGGGGACTCTAGGGGGTGGTGGAGACTGGCGAGTGGGAGCCTTCCTAACTTGAAGGGACAGTGGTCCACAGCCTCGGGCCACAGCGACCACGTGGAAAAGTGGACTAGGTGTTGCTGGACCTACCGAAGGTCCAGGAAATCTGAATTTTATGTGAAAACGCCTGCTCATAAAATTTGTCAACTGGTTTTAAATGAAAATAAAGACATTAACCATGAAGCATGGCTGCAGGCGGGCGGGGTGCAACCTCGCTCTGCCTCAGGGGTCCCGTTTCCCCCGCTGCTGCCTGACTCACCTCTGCGATCCTAGGACAGGGCCTGGCTTGGTGGGCATTAGATGAGCACCAGGTGGGTGAATGAACGCAGGAGTGCACGACTACATGGAGACATAAGCGAGCATGGGAAGAACACCGGTCTGTTGCCCTGTGACGTCCTGCAGTGCCATTGACTGTGACCATCTGGTGTTAATTCAGGATGAAAGTAACATGAGGGTGGGGGTGGGGAGAACAGGAGCAGCAGCTGGCAGGAGAGAGCAGCTGGACAGGGCTCTCAAACAGAAGGAATCCCATCGTGGCAGTGGGCTCCCTGGTGTCCGAAGGCCGCAACCAGGTCCCGTGGTTCCAGGTTGGCCCAGGCTCGGGGGAGGCCAGGGCTGAGCCGTGGAGGTCCTGACCCAGGCAGGCTACTGTTGACTCCATCAGTAAGTTCCCTGCCCACCACCCAGCGTTCTCACTGCTGACCAAGGCCAGAGGTTGGAATCGGGGGTGGTAGGAAGTGTGGCTTTCTCCTTGGGGAAATTCAGAGCCTCCTGCTAGGGCATAAAGTGGGGCAATATTCCTGGTTCTAGACAGTGACTCTAGAGGCTGCCATTGGGAGAAAAGAGTATGGTTTTCTTGGCTGTGTTAACAGCAAGTCGGCACACAAGTGAGCAGCCAGGGCTCCTGTAGCTCCAAACCAATCACTGCGCCCTCCCTCCCTCCATGCCCTCGATGTTGTCCTTCAGGGAATTCTGCCCCCTCTAAGGTGTCCACATTATATACCAGGTGTTAGAACAGCGTGTGATACCAGGCACATCGTGGGCCTTCCCCAGGCTCTGCATCCTTTAGCCTACGGGAGGGACGCTGGTCGAAAGCTTACAGAGGACTGAAGGGCCGAGAGCTGGGTTCTAGTCCTCACTTTGCCAGACTTGGGTGGGCTTTGGAAGTTCTTTCCGTGTCCAGGTTTCCATTTTCTTATCCATTAAGTGAGGAAGTAAAGTCAGCTGGCCTTTAGGTCCTACCTAGCGCTGACTGCAGGTTTTGATGGAATCTTGGTGGGTCTGTGGTTTACCTGCTGCTCCCCTGCAGGGGAAGTCAGGTTTCCCCTCCCCACAGGGCAGCTGGAGCCTGGGGCCCAGCCCCTTCCAGGCTGCACACAACCTGCTGACTGCTGTTGAAACCCCTCCCCTCCTCCTTGCTGCCCTCCTTGCCCCCATCCCAGCTCAGGGCTCCCACATGTTCTTCCATGGAGATTTCTGGATTCAGAGTCCTGACCACAGGCCTGCTGACCTCCCCTGTCACCCCATTGCTCATTCTCTGTCTCTGGTGCATTAGGGTGGCTCAGAGAATTTATTCACGGGTAATATCAGCGCACTGTCCTGCACATTTGGGCTCAGTCCGTACTGAGCCTTGACTGACCCCAAGCATCCTTGCGGGCATCACCAGTGGGCCTCCGTGAGGTCCTGAGACATCCTGCTCACAGCTGCCCCATTCCCTGCTTTGACATCCACAGTGAGGCCCCTCCAGTCACCAGGCTTCTTAGATCCTTGACCGGCAGCGTTCCCAAGTCTGAACACCTGCCCCTCACTACACCTCGGCTGTCTTCTCATAACCCTTGTGGTTTCTGGGAAACCTTACCTTCCAGATCAGACAAAAATCTGGAGTTCCCTTTTCTGTTTCCCAGCTCCTGTTTCCTGATCCTTCTCTTCTGCTCAGTCTTGCAGAACCTAGTTTTTGATCTTCCAGAAATTCCTGGTGAGTATCTTAGTATCTGCTGTTGGCTTCCTCTGCCTCTCAGGAATCCCTTTAAAGTATACAGCCCTTTATAGAAAACGAAGGGCTTCCACATACATTACCATGTTGGCATTTTAATTATTGGTCGTTGGGTCAATCTCGGGTTATTAACTCTTTGAGAGTGGGGTTTCTCCTGTTTACTCAGCCCTGGATGATAAGTCTCGTATATGAGACATCTGATAAATGTCTGCAGATTTATATGTGACTGACTTGGTTTTGATGGAACCTATACTTAGAAGATTGTTATTTCCTATAATTAGGAAGTTGTGCAGCTTGGGAGAGAGCAGAGGAGAAAAAGGAAGTGGGAGGTTTGATGGAGACAGGATGAGGGGCAGTCCTTTGGGTGAAAGGAGGCTCTGCGGTTATCAGGGTGCGTGCTGCCCCCTTGTGGTCTACCTGCATCAGGACAGTTTGTGGCGATCCTTAGCCGGCGTTCTCCACGTTTTTGTTCTCAAGACCCTTTTTACACTTGAAAAATTATTGAGTATTTCAAAGATCTTTTGTTTATGTGGGTTACATTTATCAAAATTTAAAATAATTAGTTAACTCACTTAAAGTAGTATTAGTAAACTCATTACATAGTAACACATTTTTAACTTTTTAAATACAAAATAATTATGTTTCAAAAAAAGCTAGTGAGAAGAGTGATAAAAATGAAAACATTTTTGCACAACTCTTTAATGTATGACTTAAAATAAGGTCATTGGATTCTCATATTTATTTCTGCATTCAATGTGTTGTATATGTTGTTTTGACTGAAGATATGAAGAAAATCCAGCTTCACCCAGGTAAGTGGTTGAAAAATGGAGGAATATATTAACAGTCTTTAAAAATCATCATGGATATTAATTTTTTAATAATTCACCTAAACTCAATAAGTGGAGGTTTCTTAAAGGTTAGTTGCAATGTGGAATCTGAAACCGTATCGACAAATCCTTTGTATTCTGTTACATTAGAATCCATTGGTCTATCATGAAATTGAATGGCTCTTCTATGACTTTGTAACTTCATATGTGGCCATTTGGAAAATAATGACTCACTGCACTGAGTTATTCACATCTTCCCAAAGCCGACACACTTCATTATTTAATATACAGATATACAAAATAACATTTATTAATATCACCATTTACGTTCAGAAAAGTCTTTAAGTATTGGGGAACCGTCAAACTCATGGTGGCAGACACAATGTTCCAAAGTTCTAAATTTTGCTTGAAAGCTCCAATTTTATTATGCTAACAAATCCCATTGGTTGTTTTCCTTGAAGTGAAAGTTTCACTCTGTTCATTTTGAAGAAAATGTTTGCCACGTGTACACCAGAATGAATATCCAACCCACAATTTGACTATTATTTGTTCTTTCAAGTAAAAATGGTATTCCAGAGAAAAGTGGCTAGTTCAGCTCACCACTCAATCACATGAGGGCTTCAATAAAATAAAATGTGTAATACAAAAAATTTCACTGTTTCATCAAGAACATTCTCAAGTGAAGCTTTTTTTTTAATCCTTACCAGAGCACATTAAACAAATTTAAAAAAAAATCCTCACTCAAGGATATTTTTATTGATTTTAGAGAGAGACGAAGAGATTGAGAGAGAGTGAGAAACATTGATTGGTTGCCTTCTCGTAACGCCCTGACCAGGGATTGAAACCCCAGCCTAGGCATGTGCACTGACCTGGAATTGAACCTGCATCCTTTTGGTGTGTGGGATGATGCTCCAATCAACTTAGCCACACTGTCCAGGCCAAGTGAAACTTTTTTTTTTTCATTTTGAAAGAATGCGTTGAGAGGAACACATTGACTGCTAGCGCAGTTTGGTGCCATCTCTTGATTCTGGCTAAGACACTAGCAGTTTCACATCCTGTTGTTTTTGTGTTGTCAGGGTAAATATCAGCACAGTGATAAATTGTTCTGGAAATAGTTTTGACCTCATGGAGCCCCTGAAGGACCTTGGGGACCCCTGGTCCCGTGGACCTCTCTTTGAGAACCACTGCTCATGTGAACCACACCTGTGTGTCTGCTTGCTTTTCTTTTTCCGTCCTTCTTTCCACACCTTTGAAAGGCACTGGTAAGGAGACAGACTTGTCAGGCACTGACAAGGAGAGAGACTTGGGAGCGCCGTCATAGAGCTTTTATAATTACATTCTTACAATTTATGAGAATTCTGTGCAGAAGAAGGGCCTTGAGGCCTGACTAGTCACCACTGTTCACGGAGGCCTCTGGAAGAAGCCAGGCTGAAATGGAGCCTTGGGCCCAGGTAGGGAAGGGAGCCACTCTGGCTGAGAGAGATGAGAGGAGCTGGGGAGGTGACCTCGGAACTTAGCAGGTCCTGTTAGGTTTTTAGTCCTAAGGCAAAGAGCCACACTGTGCTGCTCCTCGCTCCTGACGCCCTGGGTCACAGTAGGCATTTGCCTCAGGGAGTCCTGTGGTCTGTCAGTCCCCAAGAATTTGTTCGTCTCCCATAGGCCCCTGCCTGCTCTACCAGCTCCCTCTCCTCTCTTACATGGCTTCCCGTTTCCCAAGCCCTTCTGCAGAGGGGAGCCAGTCTTCTAAACTCCCTTAACTTGGTGCCCGGGAGGAGAGCCCACAGGCCTTCTCAATGTAAGAGTTTTAATGCCAGCCCGGACTGGGCGACAGCGGAAGCACAGAAAACAGCGAACCACCAGTGTCTGTGAAACTGCGGGTCCCTGCAGCTTGGGCCCCAGGCTAGCTTTTCACCTCCTTCACCCCTGGCTCCTGGCCTGTCCCCACATGCACCCTTGCGCCAGGACGAGTAACCCCCTGCTCCTCTGCACAGGTGCTCCCTGGACCTTCTTCCCAGCCTGGGTCTGCGTGGATCCACTGGGGGGAACAGTCGGGGATACCAGTGCGCATTCAAGGACTCCTTCCAGGAGCTTTTCCAGGGACCCTGGGCCTGAGGGTGAGACTACAGCCTGATGAGGGCGCCCGTTCTGGGTTGGAGCTTCCCCTCAGAAGGGTCCTGTCCGCAGTCTCAGCAGGCTGTCCCCACCCCCAGGAGGTGAGAGCCCCGGGTGGGTCCCAGGGCAGACACATGTCCTATTGACTCATGGAGAGTATCATGTATGGTTTCCTCTGTGAGGATTCAAGGGCTGTTCGAGACCAGACTGCACACTGTGGGACAGGTTAGGCGATGAGCGTAATAGGGCCTTGAGCTGGGAGTGGGGAGGGGCTGGGCATTCTCGGTTTGTGGGAGGCTCCCTGGGCGGTGACAGTGGATGCTGGGGGTGGGGGTGTGGCAGGAGGGGGATGATGGGCGTTTAGGCTACCGGGTCAGAACTGGGCATAGCAGCTGCCTCCTGGAATACATCTTTCTGTTTCTTTGCTGCTACCCTGGACACCTCTTCCCCGGCCCCCACGGAGTCTCCTGTGGGGCAGGGTGTTGGTGATGGACCCCCCACCTGCAGCCTTCACACTCCTGGTGATATGTCTCCAGGACAGGAAGCTCCCAGATGTGGGGCACGACCTCCAGGTCCCACGAGCACCCCGACGTTGGCCAGGCTTCCTGAGGTCTGGGGTGAGGAAGGAGCTCGTGGAGCTTGGGCAATCTCGTCCTTTCCCAGGGAGGAGGCACCTGGGCTTATTCACAGGGCGGTCCCTGCTCGCAACCCGAGTCTGGTTTCACAGAGTTCCTCTCGGTGCTGTGGAGGGAGCAGGCTCTGAGCCTCAGAACTTCTCTTCACCTTTTATTAGGAATCCAGCTTTCCTCTGTGAGAAGCCAGAGCCAGAGGCTCCATTCCCGGGAGGGAGTGCCCTCTAGTGCAGGGAGAGTGAAGGCCAGAGGAGGCAGCTGCTGGCCAAGGAGGGCAGGGCCAAGGCCAAGTCTGAAAGGGAGGAGCCGCCAGCCAATGAGAGGTGAGTTGCCTGTACCCTGACCTGCATGGGATCCCCAGGTATATCTGAGTGTGAGTGTGAGTGGTTTTTCTTGGGAAGCCCTCTCTCAACAAAGGGGCTGGATTCCACTAGATGGAGAGGTAAGGTCAGATTTCCTCTGCCTTAGAACTGGGAGCTCTCCCCCTCTTCTCATCCCCCTCCCCATCCCCAGCTGGGCAGGTCTTTGCACTAGACCTACCCATGTGCGTTTGGATTTCTTGATTCTCATGTTCTTGGATTTTATGGTCCTCTCCTATGAGAACGGGGGCTGGCAATCCTATGTTGCAGGGTTAGAGTGAGGATTAGATAAGATTGCATGTGCGAATATCCACACAGACCCTGTGCAGAGTATGCACTCAATGAAATGGAGTTGCCCAGAGTAACAGGACAAGGGTGTTTACCTATTTGATGAGCCGCTCACCTGTACTGGGGACCCTGAGAAGCATGAGTAGGTGCTGGCCTCCGGGAGGCCCACTGTTTGGTGGGACGCAGACCCGGGGCCGTGCGGTGGGTGGTGCCTGTCTGAAGAGTGAACGCGGTTGGGTTAACTGCCTGCGTCTCTCCCAGGGCCGCAGTCCGCACTCTCCCGGTTGGTGTCCCTGGGCCACGTGAGGATGCTGCTGTGGCTTCTTTTGTTCTCCACTCTGGGTTTCGAGGCTTGGGGTAAGTTTTCCATCATTGAATCAGAGGGTAACTGAGAAAGATCATTCTGAAGTCTCATTACAGGAATTCTTTAAATGCTGGCTCTCCCACATGGAGAAGGAATAGCTTTGCATGGAGAGCCCAAAGCCTAGTCTCTAGACCTGAGTTCAAATCCTTGCCTGGCTTCTGGCAATGATTTTAAACAAGTTAGTCAGCTCTTTAAATCTTAATTTTACCACCTGAAAATTGAGATAAGGTCATGGTCTTCTAAACTTTCTATGAGGTTGAAAGGGGATATTGTAATTCACAGGAAGAGTTTTGCAGTTCGGAGCAGTGATGCTATTTGTTGCATGTTAACCAGAGGTTAACCTGTGGCAGACGGTCACACGTGTCAGTAAGAGAAAATACCTTAGGGATAGGGATGCCCATCCCCACAGTCCCTCACACAGGAACATGGGCATCACAAATGCCCCCAAAACCAGTCCCACAGGAACTGTCCTGATTCCTGTAGATTTTTCTACACTCTCCTCCACATAGTCTCCCCATTGCTTAGCTTCCATGAGGTAAAATTCACACAGGAGAGGACACTGTGTGGTTTTGAAGTGCCTGGATACATTTCCAGTTGTTTTTTCCAACTGTGTATATAGATGTAGCTCAGGAGGAAAGGGTAACATTTCCTGCTCCCTGCCCTTGGCTGTGTAGCTAACTTCCTGGGGGATTACCTGGAGCTGGTGTTGGAGAAAACAGCACCGGGTTCTTCTATTGGAGGTGGTCTTCTGGTCAGCCCAGAGGGCTTCCTGGAGGGGCTGGGGGTCTGGGGAGGCAGAGGGAGTGTGGAGGGGCCTGGATTTGTGTGTGGAGGTGGCTGGTACTGGGCTTCTTGAGTACTGAGGCAAAATGGAACATTCCTTTGCAGGTGCTTTCTCCTGGGATAAAACACAAGTCAAGAACTTGTCAGAGAGGCTCCAGGATCTGTTTGTGAACATCTCCAAGATCACTGGCAAAGGCAGACTGGGTCTGTATGGTGAGGAGGCTGGGGTTGGGGTTCCTCACGTGACCAGATGTCTCTGAGATCAGCGCAGTGGCTGAGATGGGGGGCAGTGGGGTTGAGACACAGAGGGGGGCACCAGCAAACCCCCTGCACAGATTGTCTTGGCCCTTGAACCTTGGGGGTGTGGTGGTGTTGGAAGGGGACAAGAACCAGGAAGGGGAGAGGCCAGGTCTGCACTCAGCAGGGTCCTGCCCTACCAGGTCCTGCTAGGAGAGACCCCTGAGGCTGAGGAGAAAATGTAGCCCCCTCAGGGAGTGCTTGGTCAGGACAAAGGACTCAGGCAAGGGCACAGAGAAAACTCTTGGAGAGCACAGTGTGCACAGAGCGCATTAGTGCGGAGGTGAGACCGAGAGGGTGCTCAGGCCTTCCCCAGGGGGAGTGGGGAGAAGCAGATGCCTGGGTGGTGGGGTGGGGGCCGAGCAGGGAGGGTGCTGCCTGGGATGGGGAGCAAAGCATCCAGGCTTCTCCGTGCAGTGCAGGCCCTGTGTTGAGGGTGAGCGGAGGCAAGAGGAGGAGAGCATGCCTGCTGCTGAAGGCCTCCTCCTAGGCGCCTCCGGGTGCATGGGGCCGACGCAGCCCAGAATGGCACACACGGCCGGGGGGCCCCTGTGGCCATGATGGGGCCAGCTGTGCTGAGTGACCCCCCTCCTCCGGTTCCCCCCGCAGATGTCTCCACCATGGTCTCTCGTAAGGAGTGGGGGGCAGGAGCTGTTGGCTGTAACGTCTCACTGACGATGCCAGTGGGTTTCCTCGTCACACATCACATCCCTGGACTGGAGTGTCACGACCAGACTCTCTGCAGTCAGAGGGTGCGGGAGCTGCAGGCCCATCACGTGCACAAGAACAGCTGGTGTGACGTGGCCTACAAGTAAGCGACAGGGCGGAGGCGCGGGGTCAAAGCTGCTCCTTAGGGGACTCTTCCTGTCCCTTCTCGTCCGATTTCCTAACTTTCTGGGTTGAGGTTATATTAGGTTTATAATGAATAAAAGATTTTAAAAACCCTATAAACTTCCAAATCCTTTGAAATTTTCTATGAGACCCTTGACTCGGAAATCTTCTAAAAGGAAGAAAGGAAGGTTAAGTAATAACTGTACTTTCTACCCCCGCCCCCTCCAAACCTAGTGCACACAACACATTGCAGGTCATGCGTACCCTGCACGCACAGGAATGACTTGCTCTCAACAGCAAAGGAGGTTGGTAGGACAAGCATTGCCCCCTCTGTGCTGTGGGTGAGGTGACTGAAGTAGGGAGGTTGTTTGATTTTCTCAAAGTCACACAGCTGTGTGACAGTAATGGGACCCAGTGTGGCCCAGAACTCTCTTTACCCCTTGCGTATTCTCAGTACACCACACATATGGGGCTTTCACCTTGGTGAGGCAATCTCTCCTCCTATCAGTCACTCTAGGAGACCCTATTGGTGGCCCAGGGCACATGGCCTCTGACTTCTGCTGGTTGTGGGCAGTTTCTGTGCCTGGTGATGGTTTTACACCATAAGCGCCCAGTGCGTCCATCTTTTCCCTGCTCCAGGCTTTCACCCAAGTCCTGCATGGTGAGGGGCAGTGAGTAATGCTTCCCTGCGGGGGCAGGAATTGTGGGCAGTTTCCCCAGCTCCCAGCTGAGTGACAATTCTAAGGTGCTTGTACACAGTTCCTTGTAAGGTCCCACATCAGGGGTGGAAGGGGCTGAGCCTCAGGTGTCCACTGTGAAGCAACTGTGGCGCAGCTCCCACACTTTGTTGTGTTCCTTCCATCTGTCCCCTTCTCCTTGCTCCCTCACTCTGACTTCTGGGATCTCTTCCCTTATAAACTGCCTGTATCCACATCATTGTCCTGGGAAGTCTTTGTAAGACAGAGCCCTGGCAGCGAGAAATCGCATGGGCAGCCTGTGTGGAGATTACACAGAGGCATACATTTTTCAGGAAGGAGGAAAGGAAACGTGGGGACTGAGAAGAATCCTTATGTTGTGTGGTTGGGTCTATGTTAGCTCAGACCTTTTCTCCCTCTGCGTATGATGAAACCCAGGTGTCTGAATGAGGGAGGGGGGTGGGGAGCGTGGGAGTGGGTCCTTCTGAATTCTGAGGACGAGTATAAATGACTTAGCTTAGTCATTGTTGGGGACAAGTCCATGCAAATTTCCTTTAGTGGCCGTGGCTCCAGCCCTTCTCCTTTGGAGGCTGGGTGGATGGTTTCTCTGCAGGGATGTTCCACAGAGCCAGCCTCTGAGCCCATGTTTCCATGCTTCACAGCTTCCTGGTTGGGGACGACGGCAAGGTATATGAAGGTGTCGGCTGGGGCATGCAAGGCACGCACACCCGGGGCTACAACAACATCTCCCTGGGTTTTGCCTTCTTCGGCACCAAGGAAGGTAATGGCTATCCCAGCTGCCCTTCTCCAAAGAGTTCTCTACTTCTTTCTCCATGCTCAGCTCTTTTTCTCCTTCTCGTACTTCCCGGATGATCGCTCTTTCCTGGACTTCTCTTCCCCTTGACTTCCATAACAGGACGTGATGGTGGCCCTCCTCCCAGCCTGGCTTTCTTCTCTGGGGCAGGCTCCTCTTCCTCTGGCATCTCATGGGGCAGTGTCCAGCCTTCTCCTCCTCCTGCTTCTGTCCTGGAAGGACCTGGGCCTCAGCTCTCACTTCTGTGTCAATGACTGTCATGCCTTCCTCTCTAACCCTGGCACTTCTGTGGTGCCAGACCACGCTTCCCCGTTTGCTGCTGGAAACCTCCTCTTTCCAGCTCTCTTATTCCCAGATTTCCCACACAATTTTTAGAAACCACTCTGAGGCCTCTGATTCCCCAAACCCCTTCCATTTTATCCTAGTCTTATTATTGGCCCCCAGCTCCTATGTCCTAATGTACAAGCTTCAGGACCATTCCGTGGGATTTGTGCACCCTTGACTGTTAACACAGTTCTTGCACATCTAGTTTCTCACTGTCCCTCCCAACACTCTTGGCGATAGTCCAGGTAAGTCTCATGATCACTTTTAGACAACAGGCAGCCTGAGTGCGGGAGAGGTAAACGACCCAAGGCGACTTAGCTGTAAGGAGGGGAATCAGAGCGCAAGCCCCCATCTGCCTTCTCCAGCTCCGGTGTGGTCCCTGCACACCAGAGGGCTGTGCCTGCAGCTTGGTTTGCTTATGCGACCCCTTGTTGTCACCCTGAGGACAGCTTATTAGCCATGGGATCTTGAGCCCATTACTTTTTGGAGCCTCAAGTTCCTCTTTGTGAAGAGGTTAAAAAGAGCAGCCAGCTCTGAGGTTTGAGGTGAGGACTGAAGCGATTAATGCAGGTAAAGAGGCTGGCGCCTGCCCAGAAGGGCCCTGCCGAGGGGAAGCCCTGACCTGGCCAACTGGGCGCTGCTGCGCATGGTGCTCCTTCAGCTCATCCAGGGGCGAGAGAGGATGGATGAAGGAAGGCTTGGCGGTTGATGGGAAAGGTCTTTATCCTGGGCCGCCGAGAGCTCTGACCAGGCAGACCCTTGACCTGGGAATGAGCCTGTCCCCCCTTCTTCCCCTCCCACAGCTATGCAGGGGCTGGCGGGGCACCTCCTCCTTCCCCTCTGCCCCCTCACTCAGGCCGGGCCGAGGTGTCCCACAGGTCACTCTCTTGCAGGCCACAGTCCCAGCCCTGCTGCCCTGTCAGCCATGGAGAACCTGATAGCCTATGCTGTCCGGAAGGGCCACCTGTCACCCTTGTACGTTCAGCCATTTCTTGTGAAAAGCGAGAACTGCCTGGTCCCTTTACAGAAGGCAAGCCCCAAGAAAGGTAAGACTTCCAATCCTATGGGCCTCCCTCCAGACTCATGCCCCTTCCCCTAATTTCAAATGGTCACCGGGGGTGACCCTTTCATTCAGGTTTTCATTGGATTCCTGCTGATAAACAACTGATCACCCAACTGTCTGAAACTCCAGGGCAGATAAACCTTGAGAAGGGCCCTCCAGATCACCGCTTTGTCCCTCACATTCCTGGAATGTTGGGGCCATGGCATTGTGCCATGAGTTTGTATGCCATGAGTGACACACAAACACTCATTTCGTCAACCATTCAGCAGTTCTTTACTGAGCACCCGCTTGTCACTGAGGATACACCAGGCAACAGAACACACAGAAGCAGATTCAGTTTCATGAAGTTTCCACCTGGAGGGTAGAGAAAGCCAATTAGCAAATAAACAAGAAAACATTTGGTGCGTTGTTTGGTGAAAAGTGCTGTGGAGGGGGAAACAACCACGGAGAGGGAAGGCCCCTGACACAAACTCTCCAGCACAAGTGCACATGTCTGGACACAGACACTGGGACAGCACCAACAGACCGCGTGCTCGAGCCTCCACTTATGCTGAGTTTAGAGGGGGAGTTTCACATCGCTCAGGTCATAAGAGGTAGACAGAAGGTCAATTTTGAGTTCAATAAACAGCAACATCAAAACCAGTCAGCCATGGAGAGCTTGTTCTCAATAGTTAATGGACACTTTCAGCCTTTTCTTGGACTTAATAAAGTTTTAAAGCCATTAGCTCTATTATTTTAAAGCTCTGCCCTGGCTGGTGTGGCTCAGTGGACTGAGCACTGGCCTGAGAACCAAAGGTTCGCTGGTTTGATTCCCAGTCTAGGGCATGTGCCTGGGTTGAAGGCCAGGTCCCCAGCAGGGGGCGTGGAAGATGCAGCCACACATTGGTGTTTCTCCCTCTCTTTTCCCCTCCGTTCTCCTCTCTAAATCAAACGATCAATCAAATCAATCAATCAATCAGTCTTTAAAGCTCTGAATAAATTTGATCTTTGCCTTTGGGTTTATGTCATTGATCAATATTAATACTTGTCTACATTGATGAACAGTTATAGATTACAAGTGACTCCCAAAGACATGCTTTCAAATAAAAATTCAAATGAGTTCTCCAAAGGGCCCTGTTACACATTCATTCTCACCTTCTCTCTCTCTCTCTCTCTCTCTCTCACACACACACACACACAAAACAATCATGTAGATAAATATATTTCTCTTGGAATAAAAAGCACCCATGTCCCTTCAGAATCAACGGTCCCATTGTCCTTTGGGTTCTGATTTTTGGGTCAGAAACTGTGGCTCTTTGGTTCCTTCCCCTTGAGCCCAACCTCTCCGTGCTGACATACCTGTTCCCAGGCAGGCCGTCCTGAGAGCTGCCGGGCTCTCCTGAGTTCCACAGTCAGGATCAGGTCAGGGTGCCCAGAGGGTGGTGAATGTTGAGGGACGCTGTGGGTTATGCTGACCTTTACTAATGAGGTGGTTGACATGGATGGGCACAGTCAATCCTCACATCCCTGCCTTTTTGGCCCCACGCAGCTTGCCCTGGCATTGTGTCTCGGTCTGCTTGGGGGGCTAGGGAGGCCCACTGCCCCAAGATGACCCTCCCAGCTAAGTATGTCATCATCATCCACACCGCCGAGAGAACCTGCAACATGTCTGAGGAATGCCGCCTGCGGGTCCAAACTATGCAATCCCTCTTCATTGACAGATTTGACTATTGTGACATTCCATATAAGTAAGTGGATCTGGGGACATGTGGGTTTCTATCCCTTGGGGGCCGATACTGAACCTTTGAAAGGAAGGGAAAGGGAACTAACGTTTACTGAGTGCTCACTGCTCAAGAGGTGTCCCATGCGTAACCACAGATTTCTCACACAACTCTGGATGGGCCTTAGTTAAGATGTAGTTGTGGGGTGGGGGGGTAGTCATTTTCCCTGAGCGTGTTCTTAAAACGTGCATCCTTTTTCAAGGTCATATATTGACATTATGGAGGCCAAGACTCTGCTGAAAAGATATCAGTGGAAGTCATATGCATGCAAGATTGTGAAATCTGTAGAAAGGATAATCTAAGATTGTTTCTTTTTTCTCATAATCACCTCTCACTTCTCAGCGGCTCAGGCTCTGCTCTCAGTTTGGCTGCAACCCGAAGTTTGTCTTACTAGACTAGACTAGAGGAATAGCCCATCGTGCTATTCCTCTGCACCTGGAAACTGCTAGCTTCCTCAGGGACAATAGGTTTCCTATCTGAAGGCTGAGGGAGCCCACATAGTATCTTCTGATTTCTCTAATGCCAAGGTCTGCAATTCTTTAACAAAGAACACTAACCTGTGGGAAGGTAGAAGCTTTGAAGGATGCTCTCAGAGTTTACAGATAAGATTTCTGGAGGATGCTAGCAGGATAGGATCACACTAGCCTGAGACAGGAGGGACAAGATGGGACTGGCAGGGAGAGGCACAAGGTGTTGAGCCAGGGTCATGGATAAGAATGGGGAAGACCCAGCAGCCCTTAGGGAAAGTGGGAGGAGCCATCTAACATCCCAACAGAAACAATCACAGACTAGCTCAGTTAGCATATTTGTATATTAATCAAAGGAGCCCTTCCTCTAATGTGTTCATGGCTTAGCTAGTGGAGCTGGATTTTAGTCCCAACTGGCCCCCAGCCTGGCACCTCTGTGCAGGATGCAACATATGCAGCTATGCAGTGCCCTGCCTTAGCTGGAGTTACCAGCACTTACTGTATGCTCCTGGGCTGACTGCCTCTCATCTTCCTGTCTCCATTTAAGTAGCAGCCCCCCCAAGAGAGGAGAAAGTTTTCCTCCACCATCTGTCATCTATGAGGGCCTACTTGGTGCTTTGCTAGGTCTTGTTATGCAGGATTGTTCACAGTGTTGCTCTGTTTAATTAGAATGGATACCTGAAAATTGACTAAAAATTTTGAAATTCTAAACTGGAAAACAATAGGGGCTGAGGGCAATCCTTTCCCTTTCCCGGTTCAGGCTTCAGAGGGCAGTTGCCTGTCCTTTGGCTTCTGATTGTTTATTGTGTCTCCGGAATCAAAACTGCATAACTGTGCTGTTTCCTTACCTTGAGATGATATGGGGTCACGAGTAAACACCTACTTGCTATAAATTAATTCACTGGGCTGTGACTGGGTGCCTCCTCCATGTGGGTACTAGGCTATGCTCTGCGGGTGCCACAAGGTGTACCACAGGTAAGGTTGTTGCCTCCACGGAGCCAATACTCTGGTGAAGGAGGAAGATAATTAAACAAATAAATCTTAATTGAGTACACAAAGTGTTATGAGAGAAAACACATGGAGCGTGATCAGGAGGCATTCTTAACTCTTACTTAGATTGCTTTTTTTGTTGTTATTAAGAAAATTTTATTGAATTTATTGGGGTAACATTGGTTAATAAAATTACATGGGTTTCACACGTACAGTTCTATAATACATTATTTGTACATTGTATTGTGTGGTAACGACCCAAAGTCAAGTGTCCTTCTGACACCATCTATCCCCCTTTTACCCTCTTCTACTTCCCCCTGCCCCTTTCCTTTTGGTTGCTGGGAGAATGAGTGTGAAGGAAGTACTACCTGAGGAGTAACATGTTAGCCAGGACCTAGAGGGTGAGAAGGAGCTAGTCAGAGGAGGGAGGGGGAAAAGAAACCCTGTGGAAGGCCTGGATACCTGCCTGACCATGGTGCCTTGGAAGAGCTGAGAGAGGTTTATCATCATAAAAATAGGTGCCAAAGAGGGGTGTGTTGAGACGTAAGGCTGGTGAAGCAAATGGACCATCCCACAAAGGACCTTGTAACTAAGCTGGGGAGCTTGGACTCTGTGCCAAGAGATTGAAAGCAGGGCTTGACATTAGATTTGTATTAGAAAGGCCACTCACTTCAAAGCTTCAGGAATGGAGTGTGAAGGACAAAGCTGGAGGAGGTGGGATGCACCTGAGGGCTCTGCAGCAATGCTGGCAAGACAGGATGGTGCTGTGGCTGGAGGGTGGCAGCTGTCATGGAGAGAGTGGCGGAGTCTAAGAGGTCAGTGGAGATTAGTAGTCTATACCGATGATGAAGAGGTTGACCAGGGAGAATGGTCAGAAGACACTGTTGGCAAGCTGGTTAATGAGTGGATGAAGCAAGTAGGCTGATGCCCATATTTCTGGCTGGAGCCAGTGGGAGGATGCGTGGTAACACCTTTCACCAAGATGGGGAGCCCAGAAAGAGGAACAGGTGGGGAAGAATGTGGGTCCAGGTGTGGACAAGTGGACTTTCCTGGATGGCAACTGAAGCAAAGGAAGTGGATGGGTTTGTCCTGGGAGAATGTGTTGAGGGAGAGGACGAGAGGGCAGAAGGCAGTGTCCTGAGGAAACCACCCCCCTCCACATGCAGGAAAGGGAACAGCAAGATGAGGTGCAGAGGACTTTGAGGGGGAGCTGCTGGAGAAGATGGCCAGGAGACTGTAGTGTGATGGAAGCTAAGGGGAGGGGATGTTTGAAGAAGGTGGGAAGGGTCCTTAGTGTCAAATGCACAGAGATCAGGAAAATGAAGGTTGGAGAAGTATACTTTGTACTTAGTCCTAAGGAGGTCACAGGTCATGTTAGGGGCAACAGTTTCATCAGTGAGGTATGGGAAAGGCCAGGTTGTAGGGCTTGAAAACACTCTTCTTTATAGCCTGAGAGCTACTTGGGGTGCAGTGGTGTGCTCCAATTATTGAAGATACAGGAATTTTGTGAGCGAGTTCAGTCACTGGTAGCTTAAATCGACTGGGATGGGAGTTTGACTCCACAGAAATCAGTAAACAAATCAGGGCTTCTTGTCCTCCCACTCCCCGTGAAAGCTGGTTGACCAGCAAGCCACCGGAAAGGACTCTCTCTCTCTTGGAACTCAGTGAATTTAATAGTTAGTCAATGTCTGATGAGTAAGGGCATGAATGAATGAATGAAACAGTCCCAGAATGCCTCTCTTTCATGCTGATCTCCATCTCTCCTCTTGGCCCTCTAGCCTCCTTGTGGGCCAAGATGGTGCCATTTATGAAGGAGTGGGCTGGAATGTCCAAGGCTCCCACACTCCTGGATACAATGACATTGCTTTGGGTATCGCCTTCATGGGCACCTTCTCAGGTAAGTGGAGGCTTTGAGCAGGAGCGGTCATTTTGTGATGTTTGAAGGACATAATGGACAACAATGGCTTCAGACTCAGGTGTCATTTTAGTGGCTGCATTTGCTGGATTTATCCAGCTTCAAATTTGACTTTTTAGTAAATTGAGTGTGACCAGAAGTGATCCCTGCACAGAATGCCCACCCTAAGTCTACTTCCTTCATACCCAATCAAACGTCTCTTTCCCAGTATCCAAGGCACATGTAAGATGAAGAGAAAAACTCTTCATATTTTTTGTGCATATTTTTTCTAAGTTACCCCATGGCAACAATCTGAGGACACGTGGCTTATTTGTTACAGCTACAGATAAGCCCCTGTCTCTGCATCCAGAGTGCACACTGAGAATTGTCATTGCTCAGAGCTCTTGACCAGAGTGTGTTTAGACTCAGGGGCCTTTTTCTGAACCTTTGGAAAGAAGAGGCCATGCCATTCAGGCTGGTTCAGGCAGGAACAAAGGGTGACCAGTAATGTGCCCAGAGATGGAGCTGGGCAAGGGATGGGTGCAGGAAGCACACTTGTGCCTAAAGAAAGTTTCTCATACTCGGCACTATTGATGTTCCAGATTAGATAATTCTTTGAAGTGGGGTTGTCCTGTTCATTGCAGGGAGTTTAGCAGCATCCCTAGCCTCTACCCACCAGAGGACCAGAACATCCTTCCTTTAGTTGTGACAATCACAAATATCTGCAGACATTGTTACATGACCCCTGGGGAACTAACTTGCCCCTAGTAGAGAACTACCAGGCTAAACTTTTACAGTGGATAAGGCTTTGTACCTCCTAGGATCATTGCATATTTTATCCTAGGCTTTATTGTTTTGACTCAGGAAGAATTTTGGTGTTGAGGAATCTGAAGCCTTAACTTAATTTTCTGTCTGTCTGTATAGGGTAGCTGGCAATAGTGGGTATACTAGCTTGGTGGTGGGAGTGGGTTAGGGGGGTATCCAGGCGTGTGTCCTTCTCTGGGTTGGGTGGCCTGGAATTCTATAATTGAGAGGCTGTCTGTGTTTTGCAGGTACCCCACCCAACGCCGCCGCGCTGGATGCAGCTCAGACCCTGATCCAGTGTGCAGTGGACAAGGGGTACCTGACTCCCAACTACCTGCTGGTGGGACAAGGTGATGTTATGAACACTCTGTCTCCTGGGAAGGCTTTGTACAACATTATCAGCACATGGCCCCACTTCAAACAGTGAGGAGGATGTCACTGCTCCTGCTGAGACTGCTCTGCCAACTTCCTCCACGGGTTCTAGGCCGCCCGTCCTCACCTTCCACCTGGATCAGCACCTCATGTCCCCTCCCTGCTGGCCCTGTCCCATCTCTCCTGTCTTAGAGGGCTGGGATGCCCTCGGAGTTTGGCCCAGCCTTCCCTTCTCCTTGCCTTTCTCTCCACCTCCTCAGCCTACCAGATGTTGGGTTGACTGAAGACCCAGAGTCATGGGGCTCTGAGGCCCCCTTGTCTGGGCTCTTCAACCTGCTGTTGGAAACACAGCAATATTTGTTCTTTTCTGGCTTTTAGTTAAAAAAAAAAAAGAGAGAAGATAGAAAGAGGAGAACAGATGGGATCAATAAAATGGGGGAAATGTTATGAAGAGGAATAGACTGGGAGTAGAGTTGTATTATGTCTCTTCTCCTATCACATGTCAGCTTCCCTACCTCCAGAAGTTCACTCACACTGTCCCCTAAACACTACCCCCACCGCTTCCTCCTGTCCAAATTTGCCCTGCTAAGTGAGTAGAACTTTAAACAGCATGTCTGTTTCTTGATTTGCCTGGATTCTAAGATGTCTACTGTGGGCAATGACTAAGGGTTTGTCCCCATGACCAAGGATCGGCAAGAATGAGAACATTGATATTCCTTCTGAATGTTCATCAAGGTATTTGTTGTAGAGTGGAGTCATAATAATCAGGTAGATAAGATAATTTCAGTCAGTTTACCTCCCTAACAACTCAGATACTTGCTCAAGGGACTCATGTAAAAAGTGACCATTTGGCAGAGATGAAGGCCCAACAACAATGCATTTCTCTTCACCAAACCAAGCTGGCTACCACTAAGGTTGAATGTCCAATCTGCCCATGGCAGAGGCCAATGGCAAGTTCCCAGCTGGCACTATGATAACCTGGGAGATCCAGCCACCATCTGGCACCAGGGTGACTACCTTGTGGCAGAGTTAGTCACTTGTCCTCCCTAGAACAGGTACTTGATGGGGCTGTGCCACTTTGCACACAATACTTTTGGCACCACCAGCTGTGAAATTCTAGAATGCCTTATTCACAATCATGGTGTCTCACAGCATTGTTTCTGACAGATACACATTTGACAGCAAAGTGTGCATGGTGGAAGATGGTGGCACCAACAGAAATTTTGAATACTCTTCCCTCCATAAAACGACATACAGTAACAAGGTTAGCAAAACAAACAAAAACCCACAAGCAAAATCAACACAACTAGATGACAGTCTCCTCACAAACCCCCCAAATATGAGCAGATGGGAACCAACCACTAACAGCCATAGATCTATGTGTTTTCAGCATCTGTGCAGGTAGAAGCAGAGGGAGACAGCAGGGTGTCTGGTGGATCTGGGACTTCAAATAACCAAGATGAACTTACCTAAAAGTTTAGATAGCTCAGCAGCTGACATTGGAGGGGTTTTCACTCTCCAAAGGTGTGGAAACACAAAGTTCATGGTGATACCTGCAGGACCTGGAGCAGTCCCGTGATTCTCAAAACGAGCAGCTAAAGTTCCATCTTGAATAAAGTCCAGCAGAAGAGAACATCTGGGAAAGACTAATACAGGTCATAGGTCAGAGAGACAAAAGACAAAAAAAAGGTTCAGATAAGAGTGGGGAAAGGGAGTCAGGCTCTGAATGGAAGCCACCACATGTCTGAACACTTGCCTGACAAGAATGATGAATAGTGAACTCTAGAGGAATGTGATTGAAAAGCTTTTCAAAACTATCATCCCCTTTAAATGTTCAGGAAAACTAATTTTTATATAAAATAAACAACAGAAAACAATTTAGGTTTAATATCACATAAAGTTATTGTAAGACAAAAAGGAAGGCATAGATGAGGTCATGAGGGTAGGCCCTCATGATAGGATTAGCGTTCTTACTGGCAGAGACGTCAGAGAGCTCTGTCCCTCTCCCCATCATGTGAGGACACAGTGAGAAGACAGCTGTCTACAGCCAAGAAAAGGGCTCTTACCAGCACCTGACCATAATGGCACCGTGATCTTAGACTTCGAGCCTCCAGAACCATGAGGAAATAAATTTCTATTGTTACAAAGTCACTGTGTCTATGGTATTTTGTTACGGTAGCCTGAACTAAGATATCAATACATCTTAATTTTTAAAAATTTTAAATCCCCAGATTTTAAAATAATGATGAATGATTTAATTGAAATCCAAAACTAAAAATAATATACAAGCCTGATAAAATGTGTTTTCAAGCTGTCAGGGCAACCTCTGCTCTGTAAGGTAGTTGTTGCTGGGCTGGTCTAATCTGCCCTTTCTGGCTCTGAGCTTCTTAGGGCAGAGACCCTGGTTTACTTAGCCAATATCAGGCTCAAGGTAGCTCAGTAAATGCTTGTGATTTCTGAGTTCATTTCAAATATTGTCATTTCTGAGATTTCTCTTCCTGTCCACCTACCTAGCCCTGGACCTGCCTCCTTGGCAGAAGACTCCTTGAGGTTCCCTTAACACTGTGCTTCCTTCTGTTAGGTTGGACTGCTTAGCCCCCTGCCTTATGGTTGTTTATATCTCTCATCCCCCCAAATTAGAGGTCTTATTCATGGCTCTACCCTCAGTGCTAGGCAGTGCATGGCTCACAGTATGTGCTGAATGAGTGTAATTGTTAAGTAAAAGCATAAATGAGCAAATGAATAAATGAATGAACCCTAGGTTTGTGCACCACTGCCCTGTGATTTTGCCAGAGCCACTGATTGTGATTATATATAATCACGATATATATTATATAATATACAATATTATAACATGATCTATTACATATTCCATATGATGGTTCAAGTGGCAAATACGATAGGGGGAGGAGAGAAGAAGAGAAGGAAGGAAGAGAAGTGTGGTACGGGGAGGTGGACAAACAGTCGAGGATCCCACATTTACTGTGGGCCATCATAGAAGGGAGTTCTCATTGTGGAATCTCACTTCATTGATGGGGCCCATATCTCTGAGGCCACAGCAGGCAGATGATTATTCCAACCTCTGCAGAGCTGAGGGGTTTGAATTTCTCACCCTTAGCCTGATACACAGAATTGTCTGCCCCAGACTTGCTTCTTCCTTGTAACTAAGGCACCCAGTTAAGAATGAGGGGACAGAAAGTGTAGGTTCTTCCCTTTAGGGACGCTACTCATCAGAGAGGGAGACAACTCTGCAAGTGTGTGACTAGAGGTGAGGATGGAGATAGTCAGGAAGGAGGAAACTCCAGAGGTGCCCCAGGGCTAAGATAAAGAACATCAATAAAGGGAGGAGACCCTGTTCTAAGACTTTCTGCTTTCTGGAAAAGCAATGAATCCTAGTGAGTCAGGAATGCACCCATGCAGAAGATGCTACCTGACCCCTGCTTCATTATAATAGCATTATAATAAATTAGCATTGTGGGACCCCCTTCCCAGTAGCCCATCAGGGAAATCATGGGAGACCACATGTGCAGTTACTTTAAAATAATATAACTACTGGTATATGCACAATAAAAGCCAGCCAAAACTAGCCAGGAGGGACCCACCCTAAAATAAAAGCTCTCTAGTTCCCGAGGTCAGGGCTGTTAGACTCTGTTCAGCTGTGCTCAGACCTGCTCAGCTCTGCTCAGACTTGGCCTGCTCCCATGTTCTGTGTGGCTTAATAAATCTGCTTTCTCTTGCTTTCTGCTATAAATTCTGTGTGTTTGGTTCAACTTTTTGTCTGTGATCACCAAGAACCTGGTTACCTATGCCCATCTATGACAGAGGCAACTGTCTGGTTTTTGGTGCTGGGCTGTTACTGAGAGGGAGCCATTGTAGTTTCTTCAGATGGGCTATTCCAACACAATACAGAACAAAACAACAGTTTTTTCATCTCCAGGACAGAAAGTAAGTCTATGACCCCAATTCTGCTGATGACTTTGGGAGCTTTTCTCCTTTAAGATGTTAATCAATGGCAGTTGACACTTGATGTTACTTACTCTCCCCTAATCACTGGGAGGTGGGAGGGGGTGCCCACTAGACTGTGGCAATAAGAGCTGGGTTCTAGATTTGGCTCTAAATGACTTTCTCTGTGGTCTTGAGAAAGTTTTGTCCTCTGTGGGCTTTAGTATTCTTTAAAGTGTGGTGTTTGGATCACGTGGAGCTGATTAGAGTTTTTAGATTCTGTATTATCATGAGCCTCAAGGCTACAGGGCCCTCTTCTGAATCCAAGTTTACTTGCTGCCCCGGCATCCTGTCCCATCAGTGTACAGCGACCTCTCCAGAGGGATCTGAAGTCTGGGGAGAGTCACAACTCTCAGAGGTGGACCTTGAGCCGAGCATCTTTAGGAATGAATTTAAACTCTCTGCCCCCATCCTATCCCTTCATCTCCAGTCTCTTTCCAGGGTGCTCTCTGCAACCACAATTTTGCCTTGTACTTATTGCCTATAAACTTGCCTGCACTGTCCAATACTATTCACTGTCTGCCCACTCCGTGTGTCTCTTGTGCATGAGGTCTCAGTGTACTCTTCATGGCCCAAAGGTGTCTGCAGACTGTGGTCTTGCCCTTTGGGCTCAGACCAGGCGAGGCTTGATCATCCTTCTGGCCTCTATGCTGCTTCACACTGAGAACACTTCTGTTGTCTTGATTCCTTCAAACTTTTCCACTCTAAACGCTTTCCCCTGATGTCATCTCAGCTGTCCTTGGTCACAGAGCTCATCCTATCTGTGGACTACCTCATCTCCCAAATTGAGAACGCTTTTATATTCCCAATTTCGTATATTTCTAACACTTCCAATTTTCCCATCATTTTACTCCTTGATGAGAGCAAGCAGGAAGCCACAGGATTATGGCTTAATAACTCATTTAATACCCTCAATTCCAGACTTAAAAACCATTTCTAGTTTCCCAACTCCTTATAATTCGTTGTACATGACTTTACAGAGAACATGAACTTCCACATTCCGTCTTATTGCCTTATTGTCATAGCAATTATTGGTGTTTGAGTCCATGTCCC